CCTGCGACCTCGTCTCTCTCTGCACCCTTCTCCCCTTTGCCGCATGACAAGTCTCGGAGCCGCAACACCAGCGACCCCATCTCTTTTTGTATTCTTCTCTTCCCCATAACAACTCGGAACTACAACAAACCTGTGATCCCGTCATTCTCTCATCTTTTCCTTTTCCCATCCTTACTTTGAGCGTGACCACAACAAATATGTAGTCTTGTTCCTTCTCTCTTATACTACTCACCGTTTCATAAGGAGTTGCGACCACGCGTAACCTCAGCTTCTCGTAACCCTTTTCTTCCCTTCATTTTTCTTCATTCCTTCTTCTATATTGATACTATCCTGTTATCCGTCATGCGCTCGACTTGATACCTCTCAGAGCAGTCGCAAGAGTTTTAACACTCAGATCCCCACTATAACTTCGTCTCCATACAGTTTAGTTGAGTTGCGAGAGATATACACGTCTCACCCTCACTCACTCGGGTGGAGTCATTCGAAGTTGGTAGTCAAGAGAGTTTTGATTCTTTGGTCGCTTTGTTTGTCGAGTTTTGCAGCATTTGTGCGGATAGAAGGACCTCTCTCATCACTTCTCCTTCATCTTTTCTCTGCTAGCCAATCCTTACTCGAGTGGACCTTTACAGAGGAGTACCTTACAATTCACATTGCAAGTTTTGGAGCAAAAGAACGAGACGACGTGTTAAAGTTTGAGGACAGTTCGTGTTCAAACCGTGTTGGCAGACAGCCGGAGGGCTTCTAACTGTTATAAGAGGGCGACTGCCCGGATATATCCTCGACCCCGTAAACGACAAGCTAAGCGCTTAAACGTGCCCTTGTTGAAAAATCTCTCTCGTTGTTGGTTCCTATTCGCTTCAAGAAGAGTACACACGCAGGCTTAAAACATGTATCGCGCGCGCAACCTTCGCGTTTGTTTGAGAGAGGGTTTTTTCTCACCATGAAAACCAGGCCCTGACCAACTCTGTTGACGTAGGCAACTTGCCAAGCCACGTAAATATTTGTGTTTCTCTTCTTTTGTTTTTCCGCACTACTTTTCTTCCTTTATTTTTATCAAACCTTAGTTTTTAGCATCTACCGGGCTAATACTGTAGTGTTAGCTAGTGGGCTAACTTCAGCTTTTTCCCATATATATAAGCTCATTGAATTCTGATTCCCTTCTAAATCCCTGCCTCATAGGCTCTTTTTTTGTTTTTGTTTTTTTTTTTCAATTAACATAGAAAACCTCATAGACTCTTATTTGAATTTTTATTTTATGTTAATATTTTTCTAGATCTTTGATTCAAAATGATCGAGACTCGATTTGAATCGTTGATCCAACAATCCAATACGGATCTACAAGTGTACGATCCACTCTACCACCATAAAATATAAAACATAATTGAGGATGCAAACAAATTGTAGTATTGAAATCGTGTGGTGGCATCTAGCTCCGCGAATGGGACCACCTTTGCCTAGAGCCATTTTTTTAAAAGAAAAGAAAATGGATGTAATATTTTCTAAAGGAAAAAGACTAGTCCCACGTCATCAGTCTATGAGTTACCTTTCTGAAAGAGAGATTTTAGTCTACCTGTTTCATTAACATCTACGCAGCAAACATCTCGGCTTACGATCTGAATCCCATTAAAATATGAGCATGTTTGGTTCACCAATGGACAAAATTCGAAGTTGGAAGATAGACGCTGGAAACTTTGCCTCAATCAGGGTGCCAACCTACTAAACCAATGGGCGTGGGAGACCCAACAACCGTGGTTGTTTACTTACAAAACGCACAAATGATTTGATATTTTGTTTCTTTTACATAGTTGGCAAGTGTCTGTCTAAAATATCATTTTTTCAAAAAATCTTCCAATTTTTTAAATCGTCAAGAATTCTGAGTTTTTTAAAAAAATTTCAAAAAATCATCATTTTTAAATGGAACCGACACAAATCGGTAATCTTTTTTTTTTGTAAAAACTTTTCAAACAAACTTTTTCCCTATAATTTTACTTCTTAATTAACTTAATGTTATTGAATTTTAGTTTAAAGATAAGCACATTAATAATAAAATTAAATTAAAAATATTTATTTACCAAATATTCCATATAAAATTTCACTAATGACTTTCTTTAAAAAAAGTATATGAAAAAATACAAGCAATATATTCCCAAAAAAAAGAGTGATCAAAACAATCGTATTATCTCAAAATAATAGGTAGAGTTAGAAGAAGAGTAACCCAATGAAAAATCTTTGTTCTTCTTCTTTAAACTCATTGCACCTTTATAAAAAGCAAGAAAGAGATTCAATGATATTAAAGATTTAGTAGCTAGGAATTTAGTGCGTGATTTGAATTTGCTTAGGCATTTTGTTTCTGATTAATTCCACATTTTATTTTTTTTATTTTTTATTTCACTGGGTATACAGCATAGCATTTTGGATAGACCATTATTTTAATATTTGGGTCTTTATATTTTCTTTTAATTAACTGCAGTACTATATTGAAGGCGTTTTATTTTTTTTCTTAGAAAAATAATTCTATACCTTGGTTCACAGTTTTTGTTATTTGCTAATTAGTTCTTGTGTTTAGTATTGTTGTTGTTCTTATTTCACTTTATGTTCTCAATAGATCTACAATATGTTTTGTGTTGTGATAATATAATACTCATTGTTCCTGGATTTATTGAAAGTTTTAACAATAAATTATCAAGTATTACTCTAATGACACTAGTAAAGCTATATAATTATTGTTTAATGACTTTAATATACCTATGCAATACCTGCAAATCATAATCTTATATTTTGTCATATTTATATATCCAATTTTTTTATTACGTTTTTTGAACCAAATCTGAAATATTGATGAACTAACCAATTTATTAACGATATTTTGGTCTGTCGATTTACTCCTTGACTTGCTAACTAGGTTCTTTCATGCAAAGCCTCTAATCATGGAAGAGAATAAGTGGTCGCGACTCAAAATTATATATAGTAAAAATAATAAAAATCTGAAAATTAAAAATGTTAAAAAATCATATTGGAATTGTCGGTCCAATTCTGGTCTTGATCTTCCCATTCTCTAGGGAAATATATATATATATATATATATATATATATATGAACATTAAAAATGTTAAAAATCAGATGGGAATTGTTTGTCCAATTCTGATCTCGATCTTCCGATAAGGTAAAAACTACAAAAAATATAAAAATTACGAATGTTAAAAATAAGAGAGGAATTGTCAAGTTCTTTAATCAGGATCGCTAATTCTACTTATAGATTGCCCCGGCCTCATAAATTAGAAGTGAAAAATACAAAACAATTAAATTAAATTAAATGAAAATCACCTCCTCTAACCTGGATCATTAGGGAGCTAATCTTCTTGATATAAAGCAAATTGTTAGAGGCATCATCAACAAACACGTTACTCTTCTTGATAATAGCGCACATTGTGACACATAGTAGCTCTTAGTAACTTGGAATAGATTGGGTTCCCACTTGTTGGGCTCACAAATTAGAGCACTATCGTTATATGCGGTGGAACTAAGATATATGGCACACAAGAGATATGTTCAAGTCGATGTGTGTAAGAGTAGGAAAATATACAATAAAAAAAATACATACATAAATTTTATTGGCATCGGATTTATATGATTCACTTTTTCAAGATACATCCACGAGAGAAAAAGATGAATTCACTATTACTTCAACAGTTACAATAGTCTTTTAAGAAACAAACTTTAATATGATCACAATTTCATTTAGAGACTTGTCTATTTAGAATTTCCCTTTCTGATATTCTTTTCTATCTTAGAAATTTTTTTTTTTCAGAAGCTTTCTCTCTAAAAGAAAAAGTTCCTTTTTTTTCTATTTTGCTTTCCTTCTCTTTCTTTTCTCTCTCTAGAAATTGTGAGCATATTGTATCAAATGTAAAATGGTCTCATTGTATACAATCCCTACAAAATATTAAGCCTCAAAAGCATAAGGATGACACCTTATACAAATCTCACTCTCATTTTTATATTATTTTGTCAAAAGATTGTCAATGCTAATTATTGTAGGTCAACTAGCAACTTCATAAATTCCGCGTACCACTAGATTTTTCATACCACTATAAGGATTTCTAGTGGTGCCGAGATATACATGCAAATCTCAACATTATTTCAATATTATGAGGTTAACACCTCGTACAAATCTCACTCTTGTCGTACAACAACTTTCAACAAAGTTAAAAAAAAATAAAAAAGATTGACCATAAAAAAAGGGTGTGGTTTCGATAAGATTGCAATTTAAACAATCCAATTGCAGCACACCTTCAAATTTTATCATGACATAATTTTGATGTAAAATATTTGTAGGATTATCTCAAAATCTATTTTTATATCTAATTATAAAATTTTAAATTTTAAAAATGGCTAAAATCAAGTAGATATATAAATATATGAAAATTTTGAAAATAGACGGTCTAGATAATATGTTATAAGATGTACTATTTTTTAGTCACAAAATCTTTTTATTTTCATATTCATACATCTCGATGTTGAGATGATCAATCAAAAGGATTTTCAAGATTGAAACAACTTTTTCTATATATTTTTGAGGTGAATATGTAGTTATACATTTTAAAGTTACAACCTTATATAAACTTTTACAAAAAATAAAAGAGTTCATAAAAATTGACAAAAAAAAAAAAAGGACATTTTCGATTTCAATAGGAAACCAGAGCCGATTCTCAAGTCCATGTCAGATCGATTCTCATTTCCTCTTTAAGTATCTACCCAGTTGCAGAACGTGGTCCTCTCAATCTTCCAAGTCGATGGAAGGCGTCGCGTGTCCAATTCCCCATTTGTGCGTTTTCTTTCCAAATCCATGTTTTTTTTTACTGTTAAACGCTCGAAGTTTAAAGTATTTTAACAAAGGCCCACTGCCCGACAGAAAGCACGTGAAAACTTGAAGGCAGCGAGGTTTTAATTATACAAAAACAATGAAACTGGGCGTCTCCTGCGTCACTCAAGGGCCACCGATCGTGAGAAGAGAGAGAGAGAGCGGTTCTTCAAAGTATGGAAGAACAAACCTCTGCCTTCTGCCTCACCCAAGGGCCACCCCCGCCCGCCCTTCCTCTCTCCACAGGTCAAACACTCAGCATACAAATCCCACCACACTACATGCATATATCACCACGTCCAATTTCCCACCTGCTATCAGGGGAGGAAGAGAGAGAGACCAATTTGAGGCGTTGCCCCCTTGCAGAGAACCAAGGAATAAGAGAGAGAAGTAAAAGGAGACGAGTAGAGAGAGAACCATGTATCACTCTCTACAATTCCTCTGCCAAGCTAAGCCCCCAATCAAATCCGAATGGAAGGTGCAGGCCTCGACGGCACCTGTGAGGGTCCCTGCTTCTGCATCAGAGGTTGAGTTGGAAAGGTTGGAGCCGAGGGTGGAGAAGAGGGACGGATATTGGGTCCTCAAGGAAAAATTTAGGCAGGGCCTCAACCCCGCAGAGAAGGTAAAAAATTTGGATAAGTTCTTATCAAATTCAAGCCACCCCTACGTTAGATTACTTAATGTTAATTGTCTTGGATTTGGATAAGTTCTTATCAAATTCAAACCACCCCTACTTTAGACTACCTAATGTTAAGTGTGTGTTTGCAGGTGAAGTTGGACAAGGAACCAATGAAGCTGTTCATGGAGAATGGGATCGATGAGCTTTCGAAGATGTCGATGGAGGAGATTGACGCCTCCAAGTTACACAAGGACGATATCGATGTCAGGCTCAAATGGCTCGGTCTCTTCCACCGCAGGAAGCATCAGTGTGCGAATTCTTCTCTCTTCCATTTTCTGACATCAAATTTAGATTAGTTTTACAAAAAAGGAGGGAATTCTTTCTTTGGAGGTCTACTCCTTCTGAGTTTAATCCAGTATTTGCTTAATTTGGTTCATCAAATTGTCAGGATTTATTGATTGAGAAAATACATTTGATTTAAGATTGTTTGATATAGGAAAGTGGTGCTCCATTGTCAAATTAGCCCAGAATGAAACACCCCCTTGAGAAGTCACATTGCATTGAATACAATTGTTTTTCAATGCTTACAGATGGCCGGTTCATGATGAGGCTGAAGCTTCCGAATGGGGTGACCACAAGTGAGCAGACACGATACCTGGCGGAGGTGGTGGGCAAGTATGGGAAAGAGGGTTGCGCAGATGTAACCACCAGGCAGAACTGGCAGATACGAGGGGTGGTGCTGGAGGACGTTCCTGACGTACTTGAGGGGTTGCGAGGCGTTGGATTGTCGAGCCTGCAGAGCGGAATGGACAATGTGCGAAACCCAGTCGGGAATCCACTGGCAGGTTTTGATCCTCATGAGATTGTTGACACCCGCCCTTACACCAAGCTCCTCACTGACTTCATAATTGCCAATGACCAAGGCAACCCTGCTATTACCAACCTGTGAGTGTTCACTTTTTCTCTCTTTAACCTCTTCAATTATGAGAAAATTTTCTCTGTAATCTGTAAATGGATGGTAATGCACATAGAGTGGAGCTACTGCTTGGGTGATGGTCATGTTTTAGTGGATCTTAATTTCTTTCCATTGTTTGTCCTCCATTGAATTGAATTATGGTGATGACAATTACCAATTTTAGGTAGTCATGAATCATGACTCATACGGTTCATCATAATGCTTCCCACTTTTCCAGTGTAGGCCGAGTTATTTGGCCTCACCCTATGGGCTGAGTTACTCGGCCCTGTGCTGGACTCAGCCGAGTAACTCGTCTTGGCTAGGCGGCGAGTTCCCTGGCTGAGGCGAGTTTCTGTGCACTGACACTTTCCCTTCTAGTTATTACTAATACTTCCCTTCTAGTTATTGCTTTTGTGCCATTAAATTGGACGTTCGTTTTTGAAAGAAGGGGCATTTTAGTTGAAGGGTAGGGTCATCAATACATTAGGAAATTTGCCAAACTAAAAAGAACAAGAGCAAAGGCAGCACTTATTAACTCTTATCAGATTGTAGTCTCCAAAGTGGCCATGCATCTTTAGTATTCCTTATTTTAGCCCTAAATTTGTTGAGAGTGTCTACCGCATTTATTTACCCAATGACTATTGCCCCCCTCCTTCAAAAGATTACATGAAGTGTATTGTTGTTTATTATTATTGTTGCTATTATTAGATTTCTATGGGAAAGCTGGGGCTAGACCATTGCTCTACATGTTAGGAACCAACTTATTTGGTGATCCCAAATGTATCGTTACTTTTAGGAGAAGATTTTATATTTTTCTTTAGGGAAATTCAACAAATGACCTATAAAAGATAGAGTATTTAATATTTTATCAATTGTTCCCAATTGAAACTATCCCAGCTCATGATCATGTGCCTTCCAATGGGTGTTTTGCCATTAAATAGATATGGGTACAATGATAATAGTTCATCTCTCATAAGTATTTGGATAAATTTCCGTATTTTTATTTTTTCTGAGACACTGAATCATTTGTTTTCATATTTCTTAGGGCAGGAAAGGCTTTGCCATCATCATCCTCTCTCTCTTTTCTTTTTTTTCTTCAGACAAAGTTTACTTGAAATCCTCTGTGTGTGTGTGTGTTCATGTGACTGTGAAACCACCCTCACCATGAGATCTCTGTCTCTCTCTCTGTGTTCATGTGCTGTGGAGCCATCTCACCATGAGAAAGTAGCAGGTAGATGAATTGATGTCCCAGAGAACTTTGAAATCTTTGTAGTTGGGTAAGTAGTTTGGAAAATGTGTTTCAACATTCATGGTCAGTAGTTTGAGGAATTTTCGCCTTTTCCTAGCTAGCAGCATATTGGTATCATTTATTGATAACCGTTTGCATTTTTGAACTGTATAATATCCCTTTTATGTCTTGTAGTAAATGGTATGATAGCCTTTGCATGCAATAAATCTCATGACTAATTAAGATGAGCAAAGTTATGTCAATTTGATCTCATATTCATAACTTTTTGAATTATAAATTGGTGTTATTTGTTGGTTTAAGTGTATACAATGATAAGATGAGGCAGTACTCAATTTTCTCTAGTGGAAAGTTGTGGTAGTATCCAATTATCTTCATAATTGAAGAATAAATGAAACTGATTTAGATAACACAGGCCACGGAAATGGAATGTTTGTGTGGTTGGTTCACATGATCTGTTTGAGCACCCCCACATCAATGATCTTGCATACATACCAGCAACAAAGAATGGACGGTTTGGATTCAATCTACTGGTGGGAGGCTTCTTTAGCCCAAAACGATGTGCCGAGGCAGTGCCCCTTGATGCGTGGGTCCCAGAAGAGGATGTCGTGCCTTTGTGCAGAGCCATGTTGGAGGCATATCGTGATCTTGGCACCAGAGGGAATCGGCAAAAGACAAGAATGATGTGGCTCATTGATGAACTTGTAAGGAAACTTACGAATAACCCAATTTGGAAATTATTTCAAAGGGAATGAGATGCCTACACATGAAGTCTACTCTTACAATACACAAATGGACGGTTGGTGGATCCTCTACTGTGTATTTGTATAGTAATTGAACATCATGTGTATGCTGATTCCTTTTCGACTTCAATTTCAAAATTATTGAAAGGACACTGAGAATGTGTTTCTTGTGCTATAGATTTAGTTTGATGTGTGAGCTTGGGTTTCCAGCCTCAAGGCTGCAGCTACAAGCACCTCCCAGTTCAGCTAGGGGCTTGAACTCTATGTTAGACAACTGTCATCTTCAATTATCTGCTAATTCATTATAAAAAATGCAGGGGATTGAGGCATTCAGGGCAGAGGTAGCCGAGAGGATGCCGAGAGGAGAGAGTGCACTCGAGAGAGCAGCTGAGAAGGACCTAGTGGAGCCCACCTGGTCCCGAAGAGACTACTTTGGTCCCCATCCCCAAAAACAAAGCGGTCTCAACTATGTGGGTCTATATGTGCCAGTTGGCCGACTCCAAGCCCCAGACATGCTCGAGCTGGCGCGCATCGCTGAAACTTATGGCTCTGGAGAATTACGTCTCACTGTTGAGCAAAATATCATCATCCCCAACGTCCCCGACTCAAAGTTAGATGCCCTCCTAAATGAACTGCTAGTGCAAACCAAGCTTAGTCCAAGTCCAGGTCGCCTAACTGCTGGGCTAGTGGCCTGTACAGGAAGCCAATTTTGCGGTCAAGCAATAATAGAGACGAAAGCTCGGGCTCTGCAAATCACAAAAGAGTTAGAGCGTCATGTGGAGGTGGATCAGCCTATCCGGATGCATTGGACGGGGTGCCCAAATAGTTGTGGACAGGTTCAGGTGGCTGATATTGGGTTCATGGGGTGCATGACAAGGGATGAGAACAAGAAGATGGTGGAGGGGGTGGACATCTATCTGGGTGGGAGGGTGGGGGCCGATTCCCACCTTGGGGATTTGATTAGGAAAGGGGTGCCTTGCAAGGATTTGGTTCCCATTGTGGAGGAGATATTGATCCAACATTTTGGTGCTAAGAAGAGAGAAGCCAATTGATTCACATTAGGCACCCCCCCTCCTCTCTCTCTATGCCAATTGATGTACGCTAGGGACTCTCTTTTTCTAACTTTTGGTCCTCAAGAAGCTAAGTAGTGGGGTGTGTTACTCTCTCCACTGTCAATTCCCCAGTCTCAACAGTGAATGGTATGAAATTGGGGAAGAGGCCTGAAAATTTTGAATGTGGGGAAGAAGCAGATGAGACCCTTTCCTTCAATGAACCTTGAGTTTTAGTATTGCGCGGCATCAGGTATTTTTAAGCGCCGGCGTCTTTGTTTGGCTTACGATCGTATTCAAGTTTTTATTTAGTGGCAACTTGCTGATTCCGCTTGTAATTATGAAACAAATAACTCGAAATAAAATCTTACGTTACTTTTTAAAATTCGGCTGGCACCTTTCTTTATTTTGTTGAGTACGCTAGGAATAGAAAGGTTCCACCAATGTGCTTGTGCAAGTAGAAGACGGCTGCTTTGAAAGGGCTTAGAAAGGTTTGGTAGTCCCAAGGGAAAAGCCCCCGTTGAAAGGTGGACTAGGTGAACTAACACAATATATACAATCTTAACATTTTTTTTTTCTCTACCGGCTAGAATACTTACGAATGTTCAAATATTACAAAATATGCTCAAAGTAAACATAAATGAATCACAAAATGGATTCACTTGTTATTACTATATAAATATGTTTTGTTTCAATAACCAAATATTACATAAGATTCTTTTGGGAACAAGAAACAAACTACATAAACCAAAAATAAAGTGGCAAAAGATATCTCAATTGGATTTGATACAACCACTCTAGATCTCTTTCTCCGATGGCATACGGGTTCAACATCATTCTCAGATATTATAAGTATGAGAAGCCTACTTTAAAAACCCTTCAATACAGAGAGCAATGTAGAACACAAACTAAACTCAAGCTTTGTGTATAGGGCGTGCCTACTCTAGGCTTACAAGACTGGGGTGCAGCCCTCTTTTCTTTTCTTTCAAGAATATTTTTCGAACTCTTTGGAGATGCTAATGTGATGAGAGAAATTAGAGAGAGAGAGAGGGTGGCATGTCACCTTTGTGAGGGGGAGAGAAAAGTAACTTGGTGTAGAAGATGGGACCCCATTGAGATTATTTATAGACTCATGCTTATGGTCAAGATTTCTAGTGTTAACCATCTTTATGGAGAATAGATCTAGACCATTGATAATCAGAGACCTGTGGGGTGAGAAACCTTAATTTTACAATTTATATATTAACTATCATGATCTAATGGAAGGTGTCACTACGTTATCCTTCAGTTTCCTTAATTCAATCCCATCAAATATTGGTGTAGAGAAAATATCTAATTATTTGTTTTATTTTCTCCATAATCTTACACATGCCTCTTTGAAAAGTCAATTGGTCTTTTATTTCACAACCTTTCCTTTGCGTTTCAATCAACATGAATGCCATCAAAATAGGAAGGCGAATGCACTATGTAGGGCATCCCACCAATGGAGCCCCAAGTGCGCTCCACGTACCTACCCACATGCTATATTATGGTAAGTCCATGTTGTACAATGGACCCCCATGTGTATTTGTATTTATAAAATTAGGAGAATATCTTTTGGAAAATATTTACTATTTTTTTCTCTTTGAATAATTAAATACTTGAAATTTATTTTTAGCTTATTTAGAAGTCTGTTTTGAGAACCAGAGACTTCTAAAAATTCATTTCATCAATCTAAAATTCATTTAAAGTCAAGTTGATTAATTCTAAATAAATTTGATAGGATTTGGATCTAACTATGTTAAGAAAAATGTGAAACTTCTGAAGCATTCCATTTTCTATTAGAGATAATAAACCAAACATATTTTCTCAAACTAACTTAGTAGTTACCATGACCCACAATCCATCACCGAGGTTTATGATTAGACTACCAAAGTCAGCCACTAGGTGAGGAGAAATAATCCTAATCTATGGATTACACATTCCCCCTAGGGATAAGTCTAAAGTCACATAAATATGTGCACACATATCACATTTGGTGCATATGGGGATTTTCTCTCACACATGTACATGCATCACCCTCATTGGTGCTTTACTTCCTGATACGGCTATCATGTATACATGTTGTATGATGGTATAAGACGAGGCTTTGTCCCTTGTCCCTTTAGGCCCACCAATCACCCAAAGGGGTCACATTGTCTCTTGATTCACTACCTTGAGCATCTCCGACCTCATCAAGAGGTAACTCTACTGACCATTCTCCATTATTCTCTATACCTAGGTATTTTAGAGATTTTGTATTCGACTGGCCTAGCTCGTGAAACCTAGTCTGAGTCTCGGCAACAATATTGCCAACTTCGATCCCTTTGGACCATACCCCCATTGGAGTTCTTTGTTCTACTATAACAAAATTTATTACATACTCTCATAAGGCCTTTAAATCGGCATAAAAACCCAGCATCTCCCTCTTGGCCTTTGAAGGCCTAACAGTTTCTCTTGCTCACTCTCTCTCAGCCCTATCCTATATACATGTTTAGTAAAAATATTTACAACTAACCTCTTTGTAAGCGAGTCTATCTCCTCCACAGGCCTGCCGTAAGCCCATGCCTCCTCTCCCTATCTTTCTCTCATTCTCTCTCCCTCATCTTCTCTCCCCTCACAGGTCCATAGCGGGCCCGTGTTCTCTCTCTCTCCCTCTTCCTTCCTTCCTTGTCTCTCTCTGTCTCTCACAAGCCCACGTTGGGCCCATTTATTTCCCTCTCTCATTCTTTTTTCTTCCCCCTCACATTCTTCTCTCACTCCTACTCACGGACCCATGGTGGGTCCGTGCACTCTCCCTCTCTTCCTTCTCATTCTTCTTCTGTCTCTCTCTTCTTCTTCCCCCTCTCTCTCCCTCTTCCCCTTCCCTCTCCCTCAACTTTTTGCTCTCTCTCTGCTCTTCTACCTATTTTCATTTTTTTGTCTTTCATATTTCTCTCTCTGTCTCTCTCTTCTTTATGTATCTTCTCTCTCTCTTTCACCTTTAGTTTTTTATCTCTCCCTCCCTTCTCTAATTCAAACACTTTCACTAAGGTCTTTGAACGACAACTCTTAGAGGGCTCGTCCTTTAAATCCCTTTTTTGCCCTCTACAAGTTGTCCGAGTCTTGAGACGTTTCTTTATTCTCTCTCTTCCCCTTTGGTCAGGCTCCTCGATCATGCGCTCCAGGTCAGGTCAACCCGGTGGCATGGTTGCAGGTTCGAGACGGACCTGGGTTTCGAGACCGCTCTCACAGGAATCATGTAGGGAGGACGCGGGCAGAAATACCAATTGATGAGAGAGGAATTTGGGTTGTGAGACAGGACTTACCTCACGTGGGTCCGTGATACGCTCGGGCTGGCTCACGTGGACGCCCTCTTAGTTCACGAAGAAAGGCCCCCAAGTTTGAGGTTGGTTCGGACTCGCCTCCCTTGGCCTCCTTCCTTCCTTCCTGCGACCACACACACACATAAGAATATCCAGGCAAGTGGGTCAAGGGACCTGAGCTTGTTTAGGTGCGAGCGTACGCGTACACGCATGTCCGAAAGGAAAAGTGCAAAGAAGATGGAGACGAATGGTCAGAGGTGTCATTGGTTTCTTGTCAATTAGGTAACCTTACCACACCTTCTTATCGAGAAACCGATGACGTTTTGAGTACATGGAGGAAAGAGTAAAGAAAGATGAAGATAAGGAAAAAGAGGGAAAGAGATAGAAGAAGAGAGGAAGCTTACAAAGGACAGCTAGGAGATAAAATATGAAGAGGGACAGAGGTTTCACACCTTTTGAGTTTTGGTCGGAATCTAGAATTTCGACGTCGAAATTTTCAGCCACTTCATCGACTTTGTGCATGAAATCTGACCGTTTATGATGCTTGGGGTTCGGACCAGTGATAGCCATGGACATTATGCACGCGATGCAATTGGTTTCATGTCGATCGGGCTCGCGGGCGCCGTGATTTGATCGCTCGAGCAAGGCGTGTTGCTGCTAATTTTCCTGCAAGTTCCTTCACGGATCAACAACTTCTCTCTAGCTTTTTTTCTCGCTTGGGCATCGTCACAGGGTGTGCCACATATCGAAATGCTTGTCTTGACGAGATATATACACTCACAAAATTTGGGCACGATCTGACCTCTGATGAGTGAGATATAAGCGTCGCAAGTCACTACTGGTGTCTGCCCCTTTAATGGTGATTACTTGCAGGGTGGCCGCACGAGAATAGTGTGTGGCTACACCTGTTTTGGTCTTTTACCCCTAATTTCTTCTCGGAGTGTTCGTTTTAATCGTGCCGGATCCAATAGCGGTGGTTCCATAGTTGTTTGAGGCACCGAAAGTAGGGTTCCATTTATAGGGGTTCGTGTCAGGGTGCTAGAGGCTAATTCTACCGGAACTGTTTCTCAGTCTGCACTGCCTTAGACATGTCGGAATGTACAAAACTTGGAAGGAGACTTTTTGGAGTGCTTATGAAGATCTTGATCAGTTTTGGGCCATTCTGGGACTGTTGAAGTTTTCACTGTTTGTCAGGCTTTATTGACCAGCTTCTCTTTTTATTCCGTACCGGGGACTCATGGTGCTGAAAAATGTCTTCAAACAGCATGCCCCACCGATTGTTGTCCATTGAGAGAAGCGAAAAGGACAACATTCAGAAAATTTCCTCGGACTTTATTTATTTTTTCTTCCTAGCCACAGGACCACGTGAATGCCGAGGAGATCCACGCAATGTTGTAACTAGGATGCTCAAATTTTTGGATGCAATGTACTGGTCCATCTGTGGAGAATTTAGGGGAAGAAGAGACTTTTGAGTGATCTGTCGAAGTTCTCACCCTCAAGGGACTATTTGAGATTCTAACTGCTGAGGCTTTTGTGTGGACCTCGTTAGTCAGAATCGAGCCTATCTAGCTGCCAAGTGCTATGAGCCTTTGGTCAGCATTGTTTACTGCTACACCAGGTTTGCTTTTGACAATCAAGGTACCTCTGTGGGCCCTCATCATGCATGGTCTGGTTGGTGGCTTTTTGTTGTCCTGTCCTAAAAGTCTGGGCTTGTTGGCTAGGGACGGATTTTGGAGAGGCGGCCTCATGGTGAGGTATCACCCTGAAGTCTCTGGCAGGTTCTGCCCTATCTTTGTCAGTTTCTTGCCTTTGTGAGCATCTTTAGCATTTTGAGGGATTTATTATTCATCATCCGCACCCTCAGGGTCTCATTTTTGCTTTTGAGGGATTTATTGTTCATCGCCTGCACCCTCAGGCACTCGTTTTGGTTTTTGCGGGTTTTCTCCTAGACTGGAGAAGTGGCACCATAAAGACAATTTTCACCAACCTCCTTTATTTTTGGGCTCTTTTACCCATGGCCTTACACCCATGTCCACCCATTTCATCCATTTTTGCTCACGGT